TAACAACAATAATCAATATCATCATGGCGGGCGGTGGTGGTGGCGGGGTACGGCCTGGGGCCGGTCCAAAGGCCTTGGGGGGCCGCATCTGGTCCCCGGGCCTTAGGTTGCCTACCCCTGTTGTATGCCTTCCAATTCTTTCCGACATATGGCAAGCCTAAGGTGACCCTATCCTGGGGTTTTCTTGCCAAGATTAGTTCGGAGGAGGTTTGCTATGGCCTTCCCCTGAAGCTGAGAGAGTGTGACTTGCCCAAAATCACCCAGTGGGTTTCCATGGCCAAGCAAGGAATCGAACCCAGGGTCATAGCCCAACACTCAAAACCACTATGCTACACAACATCAAAAATAATTCACCACTTTAAGTGCTATAGCGCCATCCTACAAAATCCTGGGATTTGTAGTTTGGCGAGGCACCAACAGAGAAGGCTAAAGATTTTTGGGGGTGTTGGCCTAGCATTTAAAGGAAGAAAGGAAGGAGAGGAAGGAAAGAGTATATCCTTTGAGATCAGTGGGGCTTAACTTTGGCTGCATCTAAACTGGAGAATTAATGCAGTTCGACACCGGTTTAACTGCCATGGCTCACCGCTGTGCAATTCTGGGATCTGTAGTTTAGTGAGATATTTGGCCTTCACTGTCAGGGAGCCAGACCAAACTACAAATCCCAGGATGCCATACGATGGAGCCATGGCAATTAAAGTGGCATCAAAGTGCATTAATTCTGCAGTGTGGCTGTTCCCAGGCTCTGGAACTCCTTTCTACAGAAGTTGGGCTAGCACCCTTCTTGCTATCCTTCCAGAGACAGCCGAACACTTTTATTGTTTCAATATATTTTTGAGTGGTTATATCAGATGGAAGGGCCTTTCATTTGTCATACTGTCTATATTTCATTTTATTTTTCACTTTAATGGTCATGCTTAATTCTATTGCTATTCTACTGACATTTTCAACTTTGGTATAATGTGATTTTTATATTATTATTTTTTGGCTTTATTATGTTTGGATTTTTGTAAGCTGCCTTGAGTCCTGGCCTGAGATAAAGGCAGGATATAAATAATAACAACAACAACAACAACAACAACTATTACTAATGTAATCTATTTTACTACACTTAACATTATTGGGAATTATAACAGCTATTTCCAGTACAAGTTGAGCCTCCCTTATCTGAAATGCTTGAGACCAGAACTGTTTTGAATTTCTGATGATGATGATGATGATGATGAAGAATTTGGAATATTTGCAGTATACATAATTACATATTTTGGAGTCTAAACATTAAAGTCATTTATGTTTCATAGACACCTTATTAATATTGTCTATAGGTAATTATATATATATAATATTTTAAATAATTTGTGCATGAAACACAGTTTGCGTATAGTGAAACATCAGAAAGCAAAGGTGTCACTGTCTCAATTCTGAATAATTTTGGATTTTGGAATATTTTGGATTTAGGAATAGCAGATAATAAGGGATATTCAACCTGTAGCTCCCTGGGCTCCTTTAGCACAGATGTAATAACCAGACAAGGCACAAACGTTTTACTCATAGCAATAAAATTATTCACAAAAACACAAAAACTTTTACTGGTCTATGACTGTAATATCTCTCTCTACTTTGGTTAGCGAAAAGTCCTTGGTAACTTTCTTGGAAGGACTGGAAATCTCTGATTGACTTTTTGATAATAATAATAATAATAATAATAATAATAATAATAATA